TTGGAAAGCCTTATACACTTCAATTTTGATTGATTTGGGTTTTGACAATATAAGTGTAGGCTACATAATTTATTGAGCCCATAATAGGANTTCTGGAATTTCCTAATCTTTTATCACTTATTTCCTAAAGTCTATCCAACTGTGCCAAACTCACAAAATAAACTCTAATCAACTCAAATAGGCATAAAAAATAATGGAAGGAATAAAAATATATAAATTACACTCTTATCAATATTTCAAATTGTTCAAACCTACTTTGAAGTGAAGAAATGGCATGATCAACTACATATGCAAAATAATTTATTCCAAAATATTCTTCAGCAAACAATTTCATCTCTTCATTTTCATTCTCATCAAATTATTTTTTTCTCTTTATTGTACGTTTTTCGCGAAATTTTGGTTCTCTATTCATTTGCTCTACAATCTCTTTAACAGAAATCATAGAAGATGTAAACCCATTTTAGCCTTTGCTAATTTAGGGGTGCGAATTGGAAAATATGAAACTAGAGGTATAAATTACTATTTCGCCAAACCTTGGTGGGAACATGGTATTTTTGTAAATATATTAAAAAAGTTTATAACAAATTTGAGCCTTTTGAGCTTTTTTTTGGGGCCTCTTGAGTTGGCCTGGATAAGAAATTATATCCCAATGGTATTTCTGTAAATATAGTTAAAAAAAAAAACTTAAAATAAATTTGGGTCCTTTTAGGCCCTATTTTTTTTTGGGGGGGCGGGTGTGTGGGGGCCTAGGCAAGTGTCTCACCTGTGTACTCCTTGGGCCGGCCCTGTACAAATGCTCAAAGCGACGAAGATTTTGAGGTGCTTATGATGTGAGGAGTGTTGGAGTTGAAGTTGAAGGAGGTAGATCATATTCATTTGATGGCAAGGGAAGAACCATATTAGAATTTGAACTTCGAGTTACTTGACTAAACAAGAATATTTCTTCATAGAGAGACAAAAATATCTTTAGTTTCAAGATCATAAACCTTATATGCCTTTTGACCATATGGATAACTAATGAAAACACATCGCTTGGCATGTGGCTCAATATAGTCTACTTTAATGCATGTGTTGAATTATAACAAAGACATCCAAATAACTTTAAATGTGTATAAGAAGGTTTGATACCAAAAAGTCTTTCATGTGGGATTTGCCCATAAAATAAAGTGAATGGGGTGTGATTAATTAAATACACAATTGTAAGAATGAAATCACCCCATAATTTGATAGGTAAATAGGCTTGAGAACGTAAAGCACACGCCACATTAAAAAGGTGTTTTCTGTGTTTATGCTCCACAACCCTATTTTGTTGAGAGATGTTCACATGACTAGTTTGATTAACTAAGAGGAGCTTTTAACTTTTAACAGGAGAAGAGGAGCTTTTAGCTCAAGAATAACTAAGAGAATTGAGAGGAGAAGAATGAGTGAAGAGAGGATTACTATTACTTCTCAAATTTGTCTTGTACAAAATGGCTAGGGGTCACCCTCTTTTATAGTGTTCAAAGGAGTCTTCTACATTTCAACTCCCAACTACCACCTCCCCTAATAAATATCATCTACCACCTTCCACGATTAATAGCTATTTAACAACTTTCTAATAAATGAGATATTTTTACAAGATCTTTCTACTTACAAAGCCTACCATCTGGGCTAAATACATAAGCCAAATATCAGCTTTACATTGGGCTTAGGAAGAAATATTAAAGTGGCAATCTATATGGGTTTAAGTGATAAACCCAAATAGTTTTAGGCCCAAATCAAGTTTAATATTCAACACTGTTTTCATTCATATATTGAGAGATAGTAGAGTGAATAATAAGGTGGTTAATTTGGGTCCAATACTTGTTTTGGATCTTCTATTGGTAGTGAGTATTAAGTGATTCCACCTCAAGTAGTGAAAGTTGTTGCCATGCATACTGTTTTCTAATTAAATAAGTTATTTTGCATTGACTTACAAATTTAGTACTCACAACTAATATTCTATGTTCATTAATTGAATTGAACTCATCAATTTTAGTATTTAAAGGACTAGTGGACTACCAAATGTTAATTCATGAACATGAGCTGCATTGCACTTAAAAAATATCTATCATAAAACCATATGAAAGTTTTATCACTTTACAAGTATTAAACTTTAGTGGAATGGGTTAACTTTTAAATTTTGTGCTTATGTGTTGGCTTGTCAATCATCAACATAAACAAATCATCCATGGCAAAAAGTAAACCACACAACACATTTTTACATGGTTTGACAACTTGCTTATATCCATGGGACCAAGTCCAAACGAAACTAATCCACTATGATAAACTTTTAGTATTCAAATACAAAGCTAAAGATAAGCATAAGTTGCAAAACACTTTCTGTTTAAGACAACACTTCACTCTTTGATTGAACCTCAAGTCACCACAACTAGCTTCACTCACAAGGCCACCTGGTCGGCCTTGAGCTCCTCTCAATGTTCATCATGGAAGACGCACTTCAACTCCAACTACTTGAAACTCCTCCAAGCAAGCACAAATGGAACCACGTTCCAAAGCGAAACTCAAAGAATCAAGAGTTAAACAAGGTATTTCAAGCCTATCAAAGCATAATGCTGACCAAAGCATAATGAAACCCGAATGAAAACAAATGAAACCTCAAGGAATATGCAGAGAATAATCATAGGTATATTCAGGCTTAAAATGTAAGGGGACAACCAACCAACATGTTACTTAATTTTGTGTTTTGCCATTTTCAGAAAGTTTTTCACCAAACTTTCTTGGGATCACAGACAAGGCAAAACGAATTTTCCAGTACATCATATGGGCTAATGACAAGTGTACATGGACCACTTACACATATCTAAGATAAGGATAATATCCTAGAACCTAATGGAGACGCAATATGTGTACATAAATTTGGTTGGGCAAGTGTCATCACACGAATAATGAGTGTGGTGACACCAAAAAAAATCTCTTGGTCCTTTCAAAAAAAAAAAAAAAAAAAAAAAACATAAAACGATTTTGCATTAACAAAGAGATGTCACAATATCAAAAATCAGTGTTACCACACTGAATTCATAATTTGACAAACTTACACCATATAATTAAATTAAGAATAATATTTTGCGTACTAACGGATTTTACTAACCTTTGTTAAAATCACACATAGTACCCGTACTATGCGTATGGTACCCGTACTATGCTTTAAGTTAGTACACTGGTTATTAAAATCCGTTAGTGCGCATAGCATTACCCTTAAATTAATATCTTTGCACTAATTATTTTGATCTCATGAATATTTCGAAATTAACTTCTTTATCAATACTATATGAGTGACCGATTAATTAGATTTTGAAGTTGTTGGAACGACTTGTTTACTTTTGGCATAGAACGTCTAACAGATGGATTCCTAGAGAGGGTTGACGTCAGAAGCCCAAATGCAGGCACACCAACTTAAAACAGACATAACTTTTGATCTAGGAAGAGTTACGGGTCTCATAAGATATCAACGAAAAGCTTGTTTTGAACCCAACAACATGGCAACTAGGGTCCCTCAACTAAGGGTTATTTTTAAGACCAAAATCCACTATTTCGGTATGTTTTGGGGCCGTTTAAATTTTCTGCGTATTTTCCCTATTTTATTTAGAGTCATTTCTTATTTTATAAGTAGTCAACAGTCATGATTTCTTCTTTTAATTAATTTGCGTGTTTAATTAGGATTTTATTTCCTTATTTGATTGCGAGTCTTGTTAGGGTTGGCTGTCACCACCCTATATAAACATATTATTCGTTTTTGGAAATTATTTAATGATTAATCAGGTTTCACTTCAAACTTTAAGACCTAGGTTTTTGTTATTGAGACTTGTTTATTAATTTTAAAGGTATAGTCGAGTGTTAGTCTTGTTGTTACGCTAACTCACTGCATCAACTTTGGTGAGAGATTTTGAAGGATCAATTTTTTGTGTAATTTGGTCGGGACAGGTTGAATCGCTCTAGAAACGAGGATTTGGATGTATTTAGTGTGTGGATTTGCATCATTTTTCCNTGCTAATTAATAAATAATAAAGAAGAAACCAATGATAGCGACACATTCAGACATGTATATGTAACATTATTGATATAATATTAGGAAATATTTATAAAGTTTTATACATAAATTTGAGTAAACACCTTTTACCCACCCAAGTTTGCCTTAATGACATTTTCCCACCCAAAAACTTTCAAAATACGACTTTCTCACCCAAAGTTAATATTCTATTACTATCCAAAGTCGATTCTAGCCGATTTCGACGCCGAAAATTCTCTTTGTCACAACCACCATTTGAACCTCTGGTCTCCTCTCTACAAAACCCTTTTCACTATGACACTTAATTTCTCACTGATTTTTAGCCACTGCAAAGTTAGAGTTTCCTCTTCTTAACTGATTTTTGGCTGATTTCAAGAGAAAATATTCAATCGGTTACCACCATTTGATCCATTGGCATCCATTCTACAAAAACCCTCTTACCTTGGCTCTTGGTAACTTGTCAAACACTAGCTGAGAAAGTAAAGTATATTTTAAATATTAACAGAATATAAATGTTGGGAGGAAAAGTGGTATTTTGAAAATTTTTGAGCGGAAAAGTGTCATTAAGGCAAACCTTGGGTGGGAAGAAGTCGTTTACTCTATAAATTTATATGTCCAAAAAAAATTAACAAATTAAAGAGTGAAACTAAAAATAATAATCAACTTAATAAATAAGAAGCACGTGATAATAAAACAGTTTAATATATTGGTTATGTAAGAGATTGTATAAAATTTGTATACATAATTGTACTCATGTTGATGATAAATAACATGCATTGACAATATCTGGATCGATACAGTTTCAGAAAAGTTTTACACAAAAATAAGCAGATTCTGAGGTTAATTAATTAATCAATCATATTTACTATTATGTTAGAAAATTTTCAACGTTGAAAATTTAGCAAATGAAAAATATTTTTGTTTTATAGGTGTCCGTGAGAAAGAAGAGAAATATAGAAAACAAACTGCTATATTATATCCATAAGTAGAAACAGACATGGTGCTGGAGGTACATACATGAAAATATGCAACCTCAATTTATTACATGAAGTATTTCAGACAGTACATATATGAAAATCGGATAGGCAAATACTAATTATTCAAATTAACTTCAATTGTTTCACTGCATTGGTAAAACTCTTTCAAATTGGCAACCTAGAACTTTTTCTGAAGATCTTTCACCACGTTTACGTCTAACATGAAGGCCCTAGCCAGAAAATTTGGTTCAATGGGAGGATTTGATCCAAATACCGCGTTGGCAATAGTAATGACACCAGGGTTCTGGCTGCTCAAACCAGCAAAGGCAAGAGCATTTGTTTTTCCGATATTGAATTGGAAATGAATGAGACCAATGGGAAACACAAAAATGTCACCCTTGTTAAGAACTTTGCTGATAAGTGTGTTATTTGGATTGGAAGTGACGAAACCAACAAGTAGAGTACCCTCTAGGACAACAAGAATCTCAGTGGCACGAGGGTGAGTGTGAGGTGCGTTTTGGCCATAAGGTGCATAGTCAATACGGACTGCTGAAATGCCAAGAGTGTTAAGTCCTGGAATTTGATCTACGTTCACAGTGGTGACATTTGAACCAACTGGGTTGTTTGTGTCTCCAGGCTTTAAAACTGAAAAGGAGAAATCCTCTGCTTTGGCGAGCTTGGGGTCCTTGCAAAACTTCCCATTAACAAACACTGCATCAAACAATCAAATTAATTAATGTTGGTTGTAAGTTATACCAATGAGCATTCATGAAAACAAAAGTAAAATTTTTGAAAGAATCTTAAATAAATAATGTATAGAAAGAGCATTGAGTGCATACCACCCTTCAAGGGATCATCGATGGCAACACAGAAGTCCTGAAGAGGACTGGGGTCAAAAGCAGAGGCAAATGAGGAAGCCAAAGCTAAGAGAACAAAAGCTTGAAGGAAACCTTTCATTTTGATGAGTAGGCTCTCTCTCTCTATATTCTTCAAATATTATTGATTGGTGAGGGATGAGAAATGCTGCATGAGAAGCTGCTCTATTTATAGATGAAATCCGGTTGAACAGGTCTTCGACCACTCGAAGCAGATGATTATGACTTGTGAAGACTTGCAAGTATTTATTGGTTAGTGATTTTAATGTCTGCTTCATGGAGTCATTCTTTACAACCTAATACAATTATTAAATTAGTGGGTTAACTAAAGTAATAACCTTTTCTTCATTTTGCATACATCAAAAACATTTTTTAATGTTTGGAAGTGGTCCTCTTTGAAAATTCATATCTCACTTGGCTGACAATTATTTTTTTCTCTAAAATTATATAGGGAAACAAATATTCAATCGATCTTGGGCCAACTAGTGGCAAATTTCCGGTTGTTAGGCTCCATGTTATTTGTGGCATACCTTCACCCTATCTCAAAACTTTCACTTTTCTTTCAGCACACAACTTTTCCTTACTTTCATGGATCAGGATGCTCTCCTAACCTAACCTGAGTTTTTTATCATCCTTAACGTACAAGCATATGACATGAAAACCGATGAAAAGCATGCTGCTGAGGTCATGCTTAATCCCTAATGCGCATAATGTACAAGTAATTATGTTTAATATTTGTTAATTATCTCTAGTAAGATAGATTTAGTACCTTGAATACGATACTGTTAGGCGTTAGCTTCACCTAATCAAAGGATCGATTCAAAATCATGATTTTTCAAATCTCATAAAACTCTGATATTGGTGGCTTTCAGCGCTTATTCTATGCGCCTGCCTGCCCTTTAATTTCCATACATACCTAACCCATTTTTAAAATCTTTGTATCTACTAATAAATTACCTCGAAAAAAATTTCTTCTCTTTCTCAGTTTGTAGTCTGTTGGATTGTGATTCAAGCGATCTAATTGAGGTGAGCATTCACACTTGAGAGTGAATTGTAGTTGGTGGTAACGAACGCACCCTTAATATATATATATTTAGTAAGTAAGTAATATCGTTAAAAGAGAGAAAGAATGTGCAAAGAAATCATAAAAAAAACGACCATCCTACCTTAGGACAAGCTTGGGAAAGAAACGCAAACACAAGTCCGATAGACTGAGAACCTAATCTTCTCTTGTTTGTCTCTCTTACACATGCGAAGGATATGAGACAAAAGGAGATGAGCAAGCAAAGGAACACAAAGACATCTTACTATAGGACATGCCCTCAATAGGATTCAAAAAAACCTAAACAAGACTAAGAACAACAATATACAATAATATACTAATATTAATCATGCTTAAAACAAAACTTATAAAAAATAATAGCCGTCAAGCAGAAAAATCTTGGAAATATTCATAAATTGGAACGTTTGTCCATGGAGAGATATGCATGTCTCAAAAATTGACGTTAATATAAACATAATACCTTTAAGTAAAATATAGTTTAGTGGAAAATTAGTCTGTTAAAGTATTACTTGCATCGAAAGAATGACACAGTTGTTAAAGATTCATAGGTGAAAACAACACCGAATCGGATTATTAATCGTAGGCAGTTGTTGATCCACTGAAAGTTTAAATATTATATCTTATTCTTATGAAACGAATACAGAGCATCAAGTTAAGAACTCTTTCTTCCTCTTTTACGTTTTCTCTCTGTTTTTCTCTGTTCCAGAGCTTAACAGCTCACAAGAATAATTATTTTTCTTCTCTTTGCTCGTTATATAAAATCTAACCAAGAAATAATGCATGATAAAATATATCTAGAAGTGCGATTTCCACAATGAAAGTTGACAATCGACTAATATAAATTAAAACCTACTCTAATAAGTCACAACCACTCCCAAGTCTGGACCTAGACCACATAAATTAATTGAGACTGACGACTTTTGTTCCTTCAGCTAAGTCTTATAATCTGTTATGTACTTCAATATTACTATTTTGGATTTGGTTGCACAAAAAATTGATTTATTATGCTTTGAAATGTAAGTAATGAAAAATGGTACTGTCTAAGGAAGTTTATCTATTGTTTGGATATGTTGGAATATAAACATTTGTTTGGTAATTAATGAATAAAAGGCAAGCTAGAGGAATTTAAGTTTTAGGTAAATTTCTATTTTAGGAATTTATAATTGAGAATATTTATTTTTCTTACTTTGAGTTGTATTGGGAAAAAAGAATTGGTTTAAGATTTTATTTAAGGTTAAAATAGGAGAATAAATTAAATTAGAGGAGTTCTAATTTGAAATATGAATCCTAATAGAAAAAAATGTCTTATTCTACGTATAAATAGAGGGGATATAACTAATTCAAGGTTATGAGAGAGAGAATAAGAAGAAGAGAGAATGTAAAGACATAAGGTTTTTGATGTAAGGGTATCATGAGTATCGTAGTCTTAAAATTATACTAAATCTTTCTCATCTATGGATATAGGCAAGTTATGTTGAACCATGTAAAATATTGTTCCTTGCATATGTGTTGTTCTTTATTTTATTTTCTACTCCTCCGATTTTAAACAGAATAGTATTTATTGTTAAAATGTCTTATATTATGATTGTTTTGTTTTTAATCCTTTTTATTCAGCCTAGACTTTACATGAACTTAAGTACTGTTGGCAATCCATTTTGAATTTGTAAATCCATCCCTAGAAAGCATTGATGAATGATGCTGCTAAGGGCTTCATTCGATAGCAGAAATGATATCTATCAATCTACTGACAAAGAAAAAAATCGTATTAGACATTTATTAGTTGACTCTGTCCGAGAGATTTAGTCTCATTCTACTTAAAAGAACAGTATTAGTTAAGAGGCACAAAATTTAGGTTAGTGCTTAGATACATGATGACGTTATAAGTTTGGGGCTTAATTAATCAATCATTTGACCATTAAACGCCATGATACATGTGGAACAAGTATTATAGAGAAATAATTGGATAAAAAATATATATATTTGGGTCTTAAAATCGTCTCTTTTGGTATCCACTATGACTCTAAATGTCGACCATCGCTTTACGTTAACTATATAGACTTTTTCAAATGTTGATAGTGTTGGATTAGGTTTTTTCTTGCGAATTACAATTTGGTGATGAAGACAAACAATTAAACTTTATTGACTTGGTTCCATTTACTTTATAAAGCCATGGCTTAGAAGAGAAGAGAAACCCTTTATTTTTTCTCCCTCCCTAAGGTCTTGTTGTTATTAAAATTCATATGTGAACCCAAAGGTTGATCTGATGGTCAAGGAGGTTTATTCCATTCCTTGAGTTCTTAGGTTCAAACCTTTGGGTCACTTATCACAATAACATTATGGCTTATTTAGTCATTTGGGCTTGTAAGGTATTCAATAGACTACAAGAATTACTTAAGTTGCGCACAAACTGACCTAGACACCTTGGTTATCAAAAAAAAAAAAAAAAAATCATATGTGATTCATATAACAAATCTTTTGTTTCAAGGTTTGCAAGTGGGCAAAAATTAAACGGAGTTAGGTATAGAAATTGTTACGGAAAGAAAAAACTGTTTAACTATTTTCATGGGACTGAAACGAGCCTTATTGTTTGTAATTGTTTCCTATATTTTTTATGCATCATGTATGGATGGACTTTCTAATGATATTTTAATTTTGATAATCTTTCGGTTCTTGATATAAAGTTAGATATATATGCTTTATCTAATAATGAGTTTGATTTTATTACACCGTTAGTTATGGAACCAGGGAAAACAAAAAAAGAACCATTTACTTTATTTCAAGCCATGTCCCATTCATTGATTAAGGTTGGTGAAGTGCCTTAATTAATGAATGGGACATGTTGCTTATGAAACCAAAATCTTCATATAAATTACAAAGTGCCTTATGAAACCAATAGACACTAAAGCATGTTGCTTATTTGGTGAAGTGAAGATTTTCTAGAATCAATTAGAAGAAATTCTTGAATTTTTCATTAACAAACTGGAGTAAGCACTAATTTGAAACAACGTGCGCACAGATCTTTATAAGGCCCTTGATAGAAAACATTGCGTTTCTTACAAACTTTGACTTCTGACATTTTAACCCAGTCAAATCACAGGTAGTCCTACCACTCTCCAAAATTACATTTTAACTCAGACTGCTCTTAAGCTTATATCTTGACAGGTAGTATTCGGTAAAATTAATACCACGTATTTGTAACTAAGAATAAACGCTTTCGGTATAAAATTCAACGTTCTTACCAATATAATAAAAACTAAAGAATACCAAAAATTTTGATGGAGACCAATTTATGTTGTCTAATGAAGATATAGTTTTATGATTATTTTTTATTTCGATTTATTACTATCAATTGCTTATTAGGATCATAAAAAGCAAGTCATCTTAAAGTTAATTAAATAGTTGAGAGTAGTTAAAGATTGACAAATGAAAATAAATAACATGAAATTTCGTTAATGTAGTTGAACCGCTTTGAGTTTGTATTGTTTGTCCTTGTCCCATACGTTAAATATAAAGCTTCAAAAAGTAAGACTCCCTTTATTCCTTTTCCTTATATTAATAATAAAATCTGAGACACGTAATGCAATAAATAGAATAGCCATATGTTATAGCCGACAAGGTGGTTCAAAATGAAAGTTGACGGTAGCCCATTCCCATATACAGTTATAAATTACTTAGAAATTAAGTCAGACAGAAGTCTTTGGCTATGTATCCATTAGTTGTGCTTTGAAGGTGTCAGACGTGGTAAAAAGACTTTTTATTTTTTCTGTAGTGCTAATATATCAATAATTTTATCATTCTATCCTGTTTTAATTTACAAATCGAAAAGAGGTAATTTATTATAAAATAAAAAGTAAACCGATTGTGTTCCCTTGGGATAAATTACGTAAGCTAATCATAGATGAAAGTAGGGGTGGGCAAACAAATAGAGTAGAACTGGAACCGGTAGGTACTTGGGGTTCCAGTTCTAAAAAATCGGAATCAATACTGTGCAGTTTTGATTCCGGTTCCATCACTACAAGAACCAGAATCGGAACTGAGACCTAGGTATTTAGGTAGGAGTCAGGATTGAACTGTAATTTTTGTAAACT